GGAACAGAAGATTGAAAGAATATTACCGATAACTCACCGAATCTAAAAAAAAAAAATTATCACTGAGACTTTAACTGTAAAAAAAATTTTACGAAAACAACTTTTCCTTAACAAAAACTGCCTTTTTTTTGATACTGCAGGACAGCGATCATTCTGAACAGTCGCTTAAAAAGTTAATTTTCTTTATGCAATAAAAGTATCCAAACATTTCAACTAAAATGAAAGATTCTCCGCTTTAGGCGATAACTGCTCATATTTTGTAAACTGAATTGTAATAAATTCAAAATTGTTTCCATTTCCTTCTCTCCAGTAGATCCAGCACTATATGATCAGATAAAAAAAGATTAATTTTTAGAAGTTTTTTTATTGTAAGACCTGTGCAAAAAACTTAATAATTACCGTTGGTTCACATTTAAATTACTGATTAGATAGATCTCTAATAGAATAATTTCTCACCCCACTCACCTCCAAAAAAAAAATTTATAAGTTTACCTCATTTATGTTTCTGCTCTAAACCACGCGAATATACATGCTGTTTTTTCAGTATTACTAAAATTTTGAAAGAATTGATGATACACACTCCGTTCACTTACACCTGGTAAGATTTGCAATCATCAAATGCTTATTGCTGTTAACATACAGTAATGAGCATTTGATGATTGCAAATCTATCAGATAATGTACAGCAAAATTCTAAAAAATAAGCATATTCTTTTAAAAAATCTTTTAACTTTCAAAGTACTATCTTCAAATAAAATTTTTCTACCAAAGATTTCGCTTGCTATTTGCAACACTTTCTGATGACTGATCCCTATTTATCAATCAATGACTTTTGACACATTTTTAGTTTATTTCAATCTCTTGTTCGCATCTCAGCAGACTAAAAGTTTTATTAATGCGCAATATCATAAGAAAAACAGTTGTGGATAAAATTTCTTGTTTAAGTAACAGAAGATTACATAAATGTTCCTAGTATATATATCTTAAACATAGAATATTTCTGTGCTTTCAAAATAGATGCGATTTATCAAATAATAAGCACCTAACGTATAGAAAAAATAAAGCCAATTAATACTGATGATTAAAACAAGCCTCGCAAAATTTTTACCGAAGAAACAGTTTTGTTATCATAGTGGCAATAAAACCAGTGAAAGTTAAACTGTATTTTTTTGTTAAAATAGGTCAATTACAGATTTTGCTGTGGCACTGTTCAATTAACAGGTGGTCATCAATAATTTTCGAATATAACCGACGAATATCGATAAACAACTGACTCCAGTGATAAAGATGAGAAGTACAACTGCTGTATATTTTTTATTAATACTGCAAACTGTAATCTGTTTTGGTGGATCACTGGAAAATTCCAACCAGATCACAGGATTTCAGCAGGCTCAAAAAGTTCGTCTTTAACGTGAATTACTAAACTTTTGTACAGTTTTGTTATGCAGAAGATTTGAAGTTAAATAAAAGAAAAGAAACAAGTTAAAAACTCCCTGTAACCTGCAGATCCACAGTTTTATAAAAAGAGTCTACAAATTTTTTTTTTCCACTCTTAACCACCGGTTATAGTTGATTTACTTCAATTTATTCTGAGCAAAATTAGTAGTCATTCTTCTTCTATGGTTGTAAATTTTCAGGAGCAACTTGAAAACAAAAGGATAAAAAGGTTTAATCCTTGGAGTTTCATCGACGGTTCTGTGAATATCGTAAATGATGATAATGTTAGCGGCACACTAAGCCTTAAATTTGAACAGCGAATGCACCCTTTTTCAAATAAACTTCCAACGCTTAGTAGATTATTGTGCTGAAGTTATTCTAACTTGAAGTAGCGAAAATACCAATATAGAAGAATATACAAGCAAAAAACTTAACTAATATCCCTAAACAACAGCGAAGAAATAAGCCATTTTCAAATTGTTTAAAAATTTATGTAAAAGTAACAATCTTAATACTGCCACCGGTATAGGGTTAGCAACGAGTAAAGGCAACTTCAAACTTAAAACAACATAAGCCAACAGAAATTCAAAAACCATCAAGGAAATTTGCCCTCAACCTTTCAAATCTTTGTGATGCCGCTCTAGAAAATTAAGACCAAATTTCGCCTGAATTCCAAGTGTTTTCAGCTTTTAAAGCAAACATAATAATATAAAGTATGTCTGAACAATTCCAGTGAAAACAAGATTAAATAAATTGAACAAAGGAATTTTAGATCTTAATCAATCCTCGAGTTCACAATGATGACGAGCCACTGCAAAGTCCTATAGATTTTAAAGTTTCAGTCAGTCATAATTCATAATTTTAAAAATTTTCCTTTTCTGTTGTTTTCTACTCATCTGTCGCTCCAATAAATTATTCTTCCTTTGCCTCAGAAAAAATGTCAAGAAACCCATAAAAACGAACAGCAGACGCACTCTACTCAGTATGTGTCATATTTTCAGGCACCTGAACACTCCAGTGATCATAATAGCGAAAAAAAAATAGAAACGACAAATTACCTGAATCCAAGACGCTTTCGTAGAAGTAAAGGCAGTAGCAGCAGTAGCAGTGGCAGTAGCGACAGTGATGAGTCAAGTGAAGAATCAAAATCAAAAATTTCAAAGGGATCGAAACACGGCTTAGGATTCCCCGAAACTCTTAACTTCAACATCAACATCCGAATTGTAGACGATTCCTCAAAGTCCAAGAAAAGAAACATGAAGCATGAGAGTGATGAAGAGGAAGAAGAAGCTACAACTCCTGAGCACAGTCGATCAAGCAGAAAGAAAACAACTTCAAAACCCCGCGATTCATCTGAAGAAACAACTGTCAGAAGCTACCGTATAACGCTTCGTCCAAAACAACGTGCAGACGACTCATACAAATCTTAAAAGCCATAAAAAAACCGCTACCAGCACACCAAACATCATTTACTACCCTATAAGAACAATGGCATCAATTTCTTCAATCAAAATATCAACAGCTGAGCCACTGTTCAGTAAAAAATTTATCTCATTCTGCAAATCCTTGGCATACTGTGATACTTCCTACCAAAAACACTCCTCAAGAACCGTCAGAAAAAATTCATGCTCCTTTTGTTTCAGACATCTAAATTTCTAACAAGTAAATAAACCTAATTGAAGAAAATCACCCATAAGATGCAAAAACTACACACCTTCCCACACCACTTGACATCGAAAATGAGGTGGCGCCGTTTGCGCGTTTACAACGATAACGTATTAAAGTTTTATCAAAGAAATAAACAGATAGATCTTTCAAGCGTGCAAAAAAAAAAAAA